TCCTTGTCATGAGCTCGCTTCTGCGGCTCTATTATGTTGTAACTAACCTGAAATGAACAGGGAACTTAAGAAAACAAAACACCTGATCAATTTCAGTCTCGAATTAGTGATGAGTTGAGATCATATATATATTTATATATATAAAAACTAAGAACTACATTTTTAACTTTTCTTCTGTAAGCTTAGATTGTGTAGGGTACTAAAATATTGGCTTGACTTTTCTGGTCTAATCTTTAGTGAAGCACCACAAAAGCATCTCTGAACTTTAATTAGTTTGCTAAGCTTGTTTCTTTCCGTTCTCTCGACCCCAAAGTACGCCTTTTCCTTCAATATAAATCCCCAGTCAAGTTTTCTTCATTGGATTATGTATTAGATGTTTGGTCAATCATATACACATTTTTATTTATTTATTTATTTTTTTTTTTGGCATTCCCAGTGGCCAGCAAATAATCGACTTCATTTAACTGAAACGCTGCACAATCTCTTTATTTTTTTTTTTTTTTTGTGAGTGGGTGGTTTGATGTGGTTTTTGTGGATGGATTTGGTGGGTGGTTTTGGTTGGGTTTTTCCGTGTGGTTTATCGATGGGCATTACGCTGTAATATTGCATTATATGATAGATTTATTCCCAGCACAATTTTAACTGCCACTTTTGCCGTTATGTTTCCTGATTTCTCAAACATGAAGGGGCACACCAACAAGCAGAGTATCTGCTTCTTTTTTTTGTATCCTTTTTGTATCCTTGGTGAGTTTACAACATCCGCTACTCAGTTGTGGGCCATTGGCGATTATGTCCTTTGGGTGCATTTGCCTCCAACTGTGTGCTACTCCGCCACGCCGCCCAGCTGCCCAGTTGCCCAGTTGCTGGTTGCCAGTTGCTTATTTCTTTTAGTGCTTTCCTTCTTTGCTGCTTCTTTTTTTTACCACTTTATCTAGTTGCAAAAATCTGTATGCAGAAAATATTTGCCATTTTAGCTGAAAACTTTTGCCCAAGTGAAAATGATAAACATCTTTTGTGAAATTCTGTGATTTTCTTTTATGCATCAGCTCAAGCAGCTGACACAGTTACTAACCCCAACCCTCAACCCTCAACCACCAACCCCAGCCCCACATCGCCCCATAAGCGTAGCAATGTTCTTAGCCAGGCTTTGGCCACAACTGCTCGACTATTTCTGTGGCTTGTTCGGTTGCTGTTTCTCCACCTTCGTCTCCTTCTCCGCTCGGTTCGCTCTCGTCCTTTTTGGTTCCTTTTGGTCCATTTGGTCGCTCCATCAATGTTTGGTGTGAAATGTAACAGCCACTTATTGTGATTGTGTGTGTGTGTGTTTGTGTGTGTATGCAAGGGCCATGCAAGGCGTATCAGATAACAGCCTCTTCCAGAATACCCACACCAATTTTTGCCATGTTATTTTTTTTTTTACAAAATTTTGTTGGCACTTTCTTTTCCACTTTCCATTCTTTGACGCTGAGATAGAGAGGGCTTTGTAATTTGTGACACGAAATGTGGCAACCATTGAAGGTGGCATGTTTGATCTCTTTAAGTACATGTATTCATTTTCAGCATCAGCAGCCGATTTTCTGTAGTCTATCTCTTCTCTCTATTATATATATATATATGCCTTATAATATTAGACCTGAACAGTTGGGAGTTGGGTCTGATAGGGTATTTAATCTTCGTCATTCCGAGTATAACTCTTCTATTTTTTTTTTGTATACATATATGTATTTCATTCTTTTGCCGATGCTGTTGATGGTTTTTGTTGCCTTTCTTGTAATTCTTGATGTCCCTTTCCTCGATTACAACATCTTTTACACATTACACTCACACACACAGCGACTTATTCACTGTGTTTATCAATCAAATTGAAATCTGTTTGTTGTTGCTTTGTTATCTTTACCTCTTACGAATTCCCGCCCGCCTCCCTGTTCATCATGCTCGGCATAACATAATTGAAAATAGGCGACGCTGCTGCTGCTATCAAATCAGCTGAAGGACATGTGGCAAGTATTTCTTATAAAAGGCTTAGTACGGAATGAAATAGACAACCAAACTGATCAAGGATTGCTTAACGGTTTGAAATGTCAGCAAGAGTAATTAACATATACATATACATATACATATACATATACATATACATATACATATACATATACATATACATATACATATACATATACATATACATATACATATACATATACATATACATATACATATACATATACATATACATATACATATACATATACATATACATATACATATACATATACATATACATATACATATACATATACATATACATATACATATACATATACATATACATATACATATACATATACATATACATATACATATACATATACATATACATATACATATACATATACATATACATATACATATACATATACATATACATATACATATACATATACATATACATATACATATACATATACATATACTGGCTTCCTCTCGTTGTGCTTGGTCAGTGTTTCCATTTGATTTTTGCCGCTTTCAGGTTTTATTTCTTTGACAAACACGTTACGCAAATATTGGCACAGCTCCCAAAGCGACGGCCATGCAAACATTTGGCGCTGTTACCGTTGCTATTGCCATTACCATTACCGTTATACATATGCGTATACATATGTATGTGTATTTGGGATACTGTATTCATTCACTTGTTCATGTACATTCATTTATTCATTTATTCATATGGATACAGCTTTGGGCATATCTAGGTGTACAAGTCTTGTAGTTATAGTTTATAGTATATACATTTTCTCATTGTAAGATTCATCGAGAAATTAATCGAAACGGAATCTCGATCTCATCTATATAAGGTAAACGAATAGTATTTAATTTATTTAAACTAAAATGGAAGCTTATCGATCACACACACAGAAAACTCATTTCATATTTGAATGATTTTTTTTGTGGATATCACAAGTCGATCATCTTGATCAAATGAAATATTAAAAAAGTATGCAACACTTTTTACATGGTAGCAGTAGGGTCGAACCAGCCTTTCCACAGAACGGGCAAAATTTATTAAATAAACAAATAGCAATTTTTCAATTTGAGTTACACAGTTTTTGCTTGCTGGCCTACTAATCTACAATTCGTGCAATCTGAGCACAATTTCGACTATTGGCGACTATTTGCTTTCGTTCAATAAAAATCCAAAAAGGGGTTTTTTTTTTTGTTTGTGTCCTGTGCAGAAAGGTAAAGTGCAACACCTGACCACAAATGCAATCAGCTGCTTTGAACAGCGAACAACTGAGCTTTGCCCCCCAATCCCCTTGTCAACTAAGCATTTGCCCATTTGTGGCATTCAATTTGAGCAAATTAGTCGCTCTCTCAATCTATCACACGCTCCCCGTTGGACCGTTTATATGTGCGTCTCACCAGCTGACGGCAATGCGCCGAAAATGATGCTCGCTGTTATTTGCCACAACGCGGTTTTTCAGCACGTTCCATTATATGGCCCGTGGGCATCCCTTCGCTGCTTGCCACATTCGAATATTCGCCCATTCGTGTGTGTAGAAAATGCCTGTTGGCATTTTACTTTTTTTCTTTCTCAATTTTTTAAATTTTTTTCATCATTTACACCCGGCTCTTGCACTTGACCATCTGCTCTGCGTTCAGCTGTCCCATCCCACACACACACACACACAGACACACACACATACAGACACACAGACACACACAGACACACACATACACATACAGACACTGTACACATAAATAATTCCAACGCTCCAAATTAAGCGAACGTCATCGCCTTTTGATGGCAGCGGGTCGAGCTGCCGGACAAACATTTCATCCATGGGTCGTCCATTTCTTGCCCAGAGCTGCATTCCTTTCCGTTGACTTCCTTTTGCATACCCTGGACTCACTGCTCGTAATATATTTATTGTTTATATTCAGCATCTCGACCCGACTTAATACAGATATTTCCCTCGATTTGTCTGTTTATTTCATTGCAAGACAGGCCCTCATTTTAGAAGCCATCTGATTGAACATTGCTATTGCAATATATCGCTTGAAATATAAATTCTTCTCATTTGGGGAGTGGTTCAAAACTTACCACAGCAACTCTGTCTAAGCTCAGTCAATGCATTTTTGACCATTTGAATACTGCTTTTAATTTTGGAAATATGATTTTCATTTGATTTCTACATTGCTCAAATCTCACTATAGTTTTAACTTCGTTAACAGCAATGCCTTTTTATTTTGATATAGTTGTGTTGGTAGTAGAGACATGAAACTTGCTGCAAGTTTATTGACCGACAGAGGATCTTTAAGTGCTGCAGGTAAATATTTAAATAAATAATAAATATGTCTATATAGCCTATGTATACAATGCTCATATAGGATATCTACAATATCTATATAATAGAGCATTTTTTAAGGATTGTTAAGCTTTAACTGTTCTATCTATCCCACTCTTAGCTCTTGCTACAGGGAACCTATAAGTTAATCATTCCTTCGAACTGAACACACCTTACACTCCTCCAGACCTTGTCAGTTTTCCCACTTTGTCCTACACGGACTCATCCAATTCATTTTTTTCAGCTGATTCTCTTTTTGTTTTTTTTTTTTTTTTTGTGTTGCCCATTGATTTTACATGTTGTGAATAAATAATGAATGGTCATGATGTGGTAAATTGAATATGGCGTGAAATTAGCTTAAGTAAATGGAATTAAGTGGATTTCACAGGCGACTGAGTGCTTCAGGGCACCGACTTGGGGGCTATTCGAACTAAATTCAACACCGAGTTCAAGTTCATTCACAAAAAAAAAAGCAAAACAAAAACTTAATATAAACGCATTGAGTATTTGGCTCCAATCCAGTTTAGTCATAAAACTGGTATGGCCTTAAGGAGAAGGACACATGAATTTTGCATATCGACTACAGCTTTGACTTCGTCTTTGAATTCAACTACGACTTTAATTTTCGCTCTACAAATTTAGTCAAAACGCATCGCATTAACATTTTAATTTAAATTTTAATTTTGAATACTTGCAGCAATAGAAGCTCAACTCGTTATCACCTCTTTCAGGCATTTTTTTTGTAGGTAATCAGAGTCATCTGTTCCTCGAACCTGATCCGCATTTGACTTTGACTTCAACTTCAACTTCCCTTGCTTTTTGCTGCTGTCGAATGCCAGCAAAAATGCATCTTATTAACCATCAACATTTTAATTTTCGTTCTGAATATTTTCAACGACAGAAATTCAAATTGTCGTCGTCCCCTTTCCGGCTTCCCTTGAGCTAGTCAGAGTCTTCTGTTCCTCGAGCTTGATCCGCTTTTAATATGTCATAAGCCGGCACGGTCCCAAACAACAGATTGGCATCGCCTGGATGCTGCTAAACTTATCCCTGTCCCTCTTCAACCCTCAACATTCGGTTACCCCCTTGGCTTTTCTGACATCCGATTTTGAGCGGTTTGCAAAAAACATGCCCCTCATGCAATGCCTCTTGCCGCAAACACTAAAGGACCAAAGGAGACATAGAGACAAACGCATTGATTTTTAAATGAAAATAAATCGACAGTGCTAGACAGAGAAAGAAACAGAGAGAGAGAGAGAGAGAGAGAGCGAGAGAGAGAGATAGAAAAGACGAGAAATCTAAGACTAGGAATATCACATTTATGTGGTTGGGCATTTGCAATGCTTTGGTTTTGATCAGGTATGTCTTTAAAAACTTCCGCAATTCCTATTTGAATCGTTCAAATTTGCCATGAGAAATTACTAAATTCATCGAAAAAAAATAAAAAAAAGTAGCTGGAGTTATTTGAATTAAGTGGTTTGGTCTTCAATAAGGGTATTTAAATATTAACTGCTGAAAGTGGACATCGAATGATGACTTTAGCTTGAGTTAAATTGTGTGGTATAATCTGTATAAGCTATATATTGATGGCTTTCAGTCCAAGCCATTTAAGTCATCTTCAAATATTAGTAGAGATATTTGCATACTTACGGCTTTATTTTTGTGGCTTTGTAGAGTTACGATAGGGTATTCAAATGTCGTTAATACAACAAAAATCCATGTTATTATCCTGTTTAAGTTTGTTTGAGTTTTGGCGGTTTATTCGCTTTGCTGGTGGGCGTCGCTTATATGGTTTCTCTTTCGAGGTTGGAGATTAGTGTCTGAATGGATGGTTGCAATGGGAGCCTGGGGGAGGCGGGCGAGCCAGAGCAGAGGTATGTAGGTGAGTCGCAAGCTGAAATGACATTCACTGACACTGAGCACTCGTCGCTTGGGAGTCTTGCAATAAAAATAAAACGTTTTTCAAATAAGCGCTTGGGGAGTTCTTTCGCATCCGGAGCTGTGTGCCTGATATGTATGTGTGTATGTGTAAGGACGATATGTGTGCGTGTGCCATTGAGGTGAATTTTGTGTGTTCACGATAAACGTTTGATGGCCCCATGTGTTGCCTTTTGGCCATTTGACAGGCGACTTCTTGAGCTTCTCACATACAGACACACAAATCCGCACACGAACAGACTTGTCTTATTATTGTTTTGCGCTTAATTCTGTGCATTCAGAAAAATATTTCTGGGAATTTTCGAAATTTGCAATACTTCTGTCGCCAAGATTAACACACCTAATTATTCAGAAGGTCTCCTTTTAAAAATCGGTGTTCCTCTTTTCTCAATTTCAGAGTACTTTTTTCTCAAATTTTTGTATTTTATAATGTCACACAAACAAATATTTTAGTTAGTAATAAAATCATATAATTTAATTTGAAAGAAAAACTTATGATTTTCTGGCGACTTAAGTCTTTAAACTCTAACACAAAACGGAGTCAGAAAATATTATTATTGGAAAAAGGGATTTTGTTTTTAAATGAGGGCTAGCATTTATATTTTTTAGAAATGGTTTTTTTAATAATGGAAAATATTTCTAAAGAATAAAAAAAAACACAATTTATGGCAAGTCTTTTAATTATGAGATTTTTTTTTTATATTCAGTACGATTTTTTTCTCAGTGTAGACCGTAGTAGAAGCCAGTTTAATGTAAGCCCCGCAGCCAGAATCAGCTCAGCGAACACTTCTTTAGCCGGCTTGTTGCATGGGGCATGTGGCATGTGCTGATACTCAAGGTAAATGCATAAGGCACTTCATACAACTGCCTGCCTCGTCTCTGGGTCTACTCAGAATGCTAATTATGAAAACAATTTTCGCAATTTTCACAAAATTTTCACTTAATGCGAGTCTTGCGACTCGTTGCTATGCATGCGCTTTTCCGCTTTTAACAAGTTTCCTTTGCTAATTTGTCAAACACTTTGCATAATTTGACGCGGCAAGCCAACCAAAGTGATGCAGCAATCGGCCCACCGCACCCCTCTCCTCCTCCCTCTCCCTCTCCCTCACCCTCTCCCCAGCCTCGTGGTAGTGCGTGACGCCGTAAATGATAATGATGAAAGCAACAGCTTTAACTTGGCTTCAGCCTCGGGTTTTGACTTCGGTTTCAACTTGAGTTTCATATTCCGACACCGGGCGCATTTACTAATTAGCAGATATACCCTGTAAACAAGGCGGCTTATGGAATATGCCACAGTGGAACGATGTCTAAATTTGCGTTTAACATGCTTGAATAATTGTAGGGATCTTATATTGTATTTAAATAACAATTTGAGATTCGCGTTGCTCAAATGCAAAGCAATTTTTTGTCTCTGTTTATCTGTAGCACATATTTCGAGTTATTATTCAAGTACATGTATCTCGGCGCAGCTTGTGCAGCTTATGCCCCAAACAGCTCCTCAGGAGAGACCCTTGAAAAATGTATTTTTAACATTTAAGACTTGCTGTCAAACAAGAGCTTCGCGCGACCCACATTGGCAATTCCAATTGCAATCTTAAAAATCCAGATCCGAATATGGGAAGAGCGAATGCGTTGACTTCTCTACATGAATATTTTGGGAAACGGAGTTATGCCTCAAATATGCACACGATTTGGCGGTGCCACGAATAGTGGGTGGAAATTGTGATAACAATGGGTGTATGCGGAATGGAGGCAGGCAGTGAAGGCAGGGTGACGAGTGGAAGGGCATGTTGTGTCTGGCGTACGTGTTAATGTGTGCATTGCGAGAGCATTTTGAACTCATAAATTTACGTGCTCGTGAACATTTATTTTGTTATTAAATTAAACAAGTGCCAACTTAACCCAGCCAAGCACCGAACACAAATACACACACACACACACACACACACACATATATATACACACACACACACACTCGCGCTCGCACATTAATTTGCCAGTTGCTCGTTTTTTGGAGCTCGCAAAGTTTTTGTCTTGAATTTTTCAAGCTCGTTTCGCACTTGAATACAAAGTTGCCACACAGCTCGAAAGGAAAGAGGTAATTGTGTGGGTTGAGGGTAGCAAGTGGTATGTGGGGGCGGGGGTTTTGTATATATGTATGTGTGTTGAGCGAGTCCCTTTGGCGTTATTAAGCAATTTACAAGATACTTAAACAAGAATTATGTGCAACATTTTCCAACAAAATGATTCGCGCTGAATTTTAAAATAAACAGAACTGACTTCTGACAACCTTTATCAAGCCCAGAGCCCCTCCCACGCTCCATGCACTGGACTGTGTGTGTGTGTGTGTGTGTGTGTGGGAAATACCTCTCTGAATTTGGAAAATTAAAAATAAATGCCGTTTATTGTACATACGACACGGTGTTTACATTACGCGAATTGCGGCATTTTGTTTTCAACTTTTGTTTCGCTTGCTTCTCGTCTATCTCATTTGGCTTTTGGTTTGATCTTTCGCAAGTCAGCGAATGCAATGCAAATCTGTAGAATCAATCATTGAAGCGAATTCTTAAGAAATTCACGTGGCAACAGCACATTAAGACTTGGAAAGAAAATGTGTCAAATTTGTTGACTTCTGTTTGAATGAATTTTTTTCTCAGTATTGGATCGGATTCGGTATCATTTTTGGAATTTGGATACATTGCGTATACGTAATGTTATCTGCTAGCTTTAAGTTGTTACACGCACCCTCTTCCATTCATCTAGCCCTTCTCAACCCAAGCGACTCCAAATGACGCCTTTGACAAAGTGCAGTAAAATGTGCAAATTCAATTTTCTGTCAATTTTGTTACTTCAGTGCGCGAGTGTAGAAGTGTGGGCGCAGAGGCGTGGCAGGGTGCAGACTGAAGGGTGCAAAATGAGATAGAGGGAGAGAGAAAGAGGAGATATATATGTATATATATATATATATATATATATAGAGAGAGAGAGAGAGGGGTAGAGGGAATGGGTGAACGAGTTGAATGGCTTTTTGCTGAAAGTCAAACAGAGCTGGCAGGCAGGCAAAGCAGCAGGTCATAACTCACATGAAATCTGTAAGGACACACGCATCCTGAGGCTCATCCTGTGCGGCATTAACCCGAAATGAACTCGACGCCGCTTCTCCCACTCTTCGCCATGCCACACCATACCGCTCTTCTTCACTCCTCGCCTCCTGGTGCACACTGCGCAAATCACGCGAAACATCTTTCGCCAGCTTTGCCAGCTGGATAAACATTATGCTCCCGAACTCAATGGGGGTGGCGACAGCTGGGATGTGGGGCGTGGCTTCGCTTGACATGTTTGCTTATGCATAAAACGTTGCCGGAGAGCTAGCTGTGAACCACTTGAGGCCGCTGGCAAGACGCGGCCACCAAGTTATCATCTCGCGCGCAGGCATTCCCAGATTTCTGCCTCTTCCTCTTGGTCCTCTCCAGCACCGTCTTCTTTCGCCTGCTCGAGCTCTTCTTCTTTGATGGTGGTGCTCCACTGAATCGTTGGCTCATTGCCTCCACGGAATCAGCGGGTAACCAACCGCCTGTAGCCAGTTTATTACATGTCGCTTCATTGTTTGCCTTTCAATTTTTATTTTAGTTTTACTCGATTCTTTTTTTCCCCGAAAAAAATGAGCAGAAAGAGCAACCAAAATGAACTTTGATGGAATCTGGAATGATGTACGTAAGGGTCTAAGCTTTTGTTTAGAGAAAGATTGCTAATGGGAAATAATTTATATGCAATATCATTGAATGTGCACTCAGAGATCAGTGCGCTTCTTTCCCCAAGTTAATGAACCCTGGCATAAAACATTATGTTCATAACATTCAAATTGAACATATTCAACAATGTTTTTCTCTCTCTGTCGATCCCCTTCAGCTAATGTATCCATATGCAAATGAAAGTCCACACAATATTACCACATGATTATCACATCGTCATCGTATTAAATGCCAACTGAACAGATATCAATATTCATTATTGTTATACAATTCGATTTGAGAGTGTCGCGACAAAGAGCAATATAAACACGCAACGAAATGCTGGAAAAACAGAAAACTAAAGCCAAAGAAAAAAAAGAAAAAAAACACAATATATATATTTATATAAAATGCAAACGTTTGAATTTCATATGGATACAGACAGGTGATGTCCACACTGGGCACAGTGGTGCAAAAACCACAAATACTCGTCAGGCAAATATGATTTGAGAACATTTTGATAACTCATGTCTCAGTTGGGCTTATAGGCAGATTTTACTCAGATTTGATATCAACTTACAAATTATTATAGTCTGATTTTTACGATTCGATTTTTATATATTTGCTTGTTGATTTCGTTCATGGATTGTGCACCATTGCGAACTATATTCTGTTCACTGTGTCTATTTTCAGCTGCATCACAGATCAAAGTGACTGCCAGCACTCCCCTCCTTACAACTTAACCTCCGCATCCTCTTTCAAATCGTCAAGTGGGACACTTGTGTGCGTGGCCCGTAATGAAAAATGCGACGTGTGTTTGAATGCTGAGGACTGTGAGAGGATTGCAAGTGGGATTCTAGCATGGGTAGGCATTAACTGGTAGCTGGTAGTGGAGTACTGCAGTACTCTGAGCTCTCGGGTATTCTCTACTCCACTCGCTGCTGATTTCTGAATCGCCACAGTTTGAAGGGTATTTGCCCATACTTCTATCTATCTTTCTTTTTCTTTTTTTTTTTTGTTGTGCAGCGACCATTTCATTTTCCATTTCAATTACTAACCGAGCAATGACCACAGCTCTGCTCATCGTTTATTATACAATACATGGGGTAGATCAGGGGTCGAGGGATTTGGAAGTGAGCTGTTAACCAGGTGAACACAAGCGATGCTTTTACTTTGACCGGTGCAACGCTTTTAACCTTTGTATTTACTGCATATTTACTTAACAAGAATGCGCCCATGCTCATTGACTTATTTCAACGCACACACACAGGGAGACTCGCTCACACAACATGTTACACCAATTAACTGTAGTGTATTAAACTGTTTAACCACTGATAGATACTTTTACTTAGTGACCATTTAATTTAAGGTTGTGCAAATCTTCTCAAAGTCAATTTGTAAATTTCGCCACAAAATTTCGTTGTAAGTAAACAAATAACTTGCATTAACTTGATTTGATAGATTTTGCCTTTGCTTGTAGTAAATACTAGTATACAGTAGAAAATTGCATAGGTTTCTGATACTGTGTGTTTAAATGCAAATATATTAAACATTAACAATACTATTAATTGATTCATTTTCCCATATGCGACTTTTCTAGAGCTCAATTGCTCTCAGCTTGAAAATGTCTTCTAAATACCTACATATTATTCTGCCTTTCAATTACCATGTTCACTTTCAGATTATTTTTCTATATCTGAAGTAGTACAAATCTGTATCTGGATCTGGGTGGGTTTATTGCCTTTTTTGGCAAATCTAAACAAATTATTGTTGACAATTCTATAATTTAATTGCATAAAATATTTATTATTTTCCAAGAAATGTTTTGGTTTCTTCTCATTTTCGATTTCCAATGTTTTTTTTTTTTGGTTTTATCTGTTTTAGTTTTTGGCTTGTTTTTTATTTTGCATAAGAATTTTTTAATTTAACGCCCAATAAACTGCTGGCGCGTTTCGGTTTCCGGTTGCCGGCGCGTAATTTTTCCTCTGCACCGAAAAAAAACTGACTTGAAAGAAGAAGAAATAGCAGCAGTAGTGGAGATGCTTTTTGCAGCCTTGCCACGCCCCAAAACTGTGTGTGTGTGTGTGTGTGAGTGTGAATGCCGCCAACTACATTTAGTTAAATGTGCAGACGGCAATGCGAGAATTTCTCCAACCACACCGTCCCACCCTGTCCTGAACAAAAACAAAGCGCAGAGACAACACGAACAGTCTAAGACCCTCCCCTCTCCCTACTAACTTGTGTGTGTGGCATTCGACCAAGATTGATGGGAATTTAAATTGAGCATTTCGTTATAAATATGCGCGCGTTTTACTCTGTTTTGCGGCAGGCGCTGCCATTGCAGCTGCCTAACACCCCCCAAACCCCTCTACCACTTCCCCCTTTTCAGCGTGTGTGTATATATATATCTGTGTGTGTGTGTGTGTGTGTGTGTGTGTGTGCGTGCACGTTCTCGGCCAACTCTCGACTGTCGTCATTCAGTCTACGCCACCCCATACTACCTTTCTGCTCGGCTTCTAGTGCCAGTCAGTAAGTCAGTCAGTCAGTTATTCACTTTATACCCTATAGCCAAAAAACCAAAATAAAAAACTGTGATAACAAAAAGGTGCAAGAGGTTTTTTAATAAATATAAAAGTCTTCCATTAGATATAAGATATATATATATTTGTGTAAATTAACAGATTCGAAAATTATCTTTTTTTAATTTAAGCCAATTTAGCAAATAAATTTGTCTTTTGATTGAGTATTCTCAAAATTAACGTTCAAGAAAATCGATTAATTTTGAATTATTTTCCTTGACTGAATTAAATCATTGGAAAAAACTTCCAAACTTATTGGATTTCACACAAATATTAAATAAATTTGAATTCTTTCTCTTCAATGGATTGTAGATACTTCTTCAAATTATTTGATTGCTAAAGGATGATTTGCAAACTTTCTATAGCGTATATTACAGCCAGGCATTTACTTAACGCATGAGCTCATCTTTCTCCAAGTTTAGATATAGATCAAAATTTTATGTTTTTAGGTATCAATTCCACACAAACTTTTTACAGAGCAACGCTTAGTCGAGTATTCTCACTCGATCCGTACTTGTTTACTATATGTTGCCATTGACACAGCGCTCCGAGCATGACGCACATAATTCCTAAGCCGCAGACGCAGCACGCCCGGCTCTTCCTGCTCTGACTGCTCGTTTTGGTGATGGAACTGGTCCTTTTTCTATTCTTCCCTGCCCAGCTCTCAACCCTCCGGCTAGAAATAATGTGCGTTGCCACTGACATTTGTACTATTGCTGACATTGCTGTTCCATTTTGCAATCACACACTCACACACAAGTGTGAAAGTCCACACAAAGACATGACAGTTTTATGTACACACACTTATATATATATATATATATATATATATATGTATATATATATAGCCTTTGTATATATGTGTAAATATTCTTTAACACGCTTATGTATATATCTAAACTAAAAAAAAAGAATAAAAAAGCATAATTAAAAACAAATTTAGGAACAGCGTCTGTCAGATAGAACTATTAAGTCTAATGATATTTATATACACTAATAATAATACTTAATCAATGAGATACCTAAATAAAATGTTCAAAAACTTAAAACACTTTTCAGAGCATAAACACGAAGGCGTTATTTGGATGGGAAGCTACAGAATCCTTTAGCCATAGAAATAAATATAGCCGTTGTTCGTCTGACTTCCGAAAAAACAATTTTCGAATCTTCAACTATTTAGCTGATAGTTGCGAATATTGAGTTACGAGCTGCTTGCATTCAATATCATTTTAAATATCGTATTCCATTACAAACATGTGCAGATTGTTTGATATTGTATATATATTTGATGTTTATTATGTGCATGTATATGTGAGGGTGGTTACCCAACCTGAGAGGCAGCAAAAACAAACACTACTCAATAAAAAAAATAGTAAACAAAAAATCGAAAGAATTTTCAAGCTTTGAGAATTGGACGCGGCAAATGGAAGTAAAAGAGAGGAGCAGCCTAACTGATAATCAACTAGAAGAGCGACAGAGAGTGAGAGAAGCAGAAAGAGAGGAGTGCGAGAACCTGGAGGTGGAGAGCTTCACAAAAAAGTAGAGTTTTCTTCAGGGTGCCGCACATTGAATACCCAAGTAGATAAATTAATAAAGTTGTATCTTCAGGCACAAAACAAGTGTCCAAACTATAATTTAATTTTGGAAATTGCCAATTTTATAGGAAAGATTTATTTATTTTTTTACTAAAAACTTTTCGATTATTTTGTTGTCTATATCTTTTATAAATATTACTGATTTCAACTTTTGAGCCATAGTTCCGATCACTTCGATTCGGACGAACAAATATAATGGATTTTCAACGAAGTTTCAATGTGTTGCACATTCGATAACAGAATTCTAATGCCCGTCTGTAAGGGTATAGCAAAGTGTGGCGCTGTGATGTGGATTCGAGCTAAGCTCAGCTCCTCGTTATTGACAGTTGAAACGAATACGCTTAGCGAGCCAGTTGCCAGTTTCTCGATTTGTGTGTGGATCATGGGCAGCACTGAGGATTACAAGTGGCGCAAGCGCATATGCCACAAGTG